TGATTTTTTTTAGGACTTTTTGAGTGAGTGACCTTGTGCAGCCTTTTTTTCTAATTAAAAATAAGAATTAAAAAAAAAGGGCCCTCAGAGGCACTGCATCCTGACATGCTCTTTCATATGAAAAGACAATGAACTAAATCGAATGAAAAGCCATAGAGAAATTTGGGGGCTACGATAAGCTATTTTTCGACCCTTTTTTGGTTCGTATCTACCTTATGCATCAAGATAGGAGGTTGAAAATTTTATCATAGACGTACTTTTACATCCTCAACATAGCCCCAAAGTTTCATGCTATCACGATGTTCTGGAGCTGAGATCTAATTTTGAGGGGGGGGGGGGGCCTTAAATGAATGCTGTGGTTTCACTCAGAAACACTAGAAGCACTGACTTTCGAATGTCGACTTGAAGCTTTACGTAGAAACAGACCTAAACAAGAATAGTTTTTCGTCAATGTTTCAGGTCTTCTGATTTGTTTCTATCTTGAAAAGAGAATATTAAAACTGCTGGCTTATGTGAATGATATAAAAGAGACATTGTTACCACAGTTGTGTCTGTGGATAGGAACTGCAACAAAATCTGAAATCTTCACAAAAATTTATTCTCGTTGGGGCTTGTTTCGATGTAAAGTGTCAAGTCTAAATTCAAAAATCAGGTTTTCTAGTGTTTGTGAGAGGAATCACAACATTCATTTAAAAAATACTGTGAAAGTGCAATATTTCCGTGACAATATGCTAACCTCCCAAGCTTTTTTCAGGGTATTCATAGCTCCTTCGGGTCTATATAATGCAAGTAACCTCAACGCAAAAATGATTGAACAGTTGGTGGCCCTCTTTCATAAGTCCGAATTGAAAAGCAAACTGCAAATTGATAACGGTCCCTCGTAACCTGTGTATTCAGATGAAAAAAATAGTTTAGTATAAAAGTATTTATAACAATCACGAAAACATCTATTCGTTATCTTGTTGTTTTTTTGGAAAATCTTGTCATTCGAAACATGTTCAAATAGCCTTATAATGAGTCGGAGCATCGTCTGTCGAGTTTTCAATGATAATTTCGTTGGTATAGGTGTTCGATGCTATCGAATTATCATGATCTTCGTGGTGACTATCAAATGATCGATTGCGCGTTTCTGGAAGTATAAAGAGTAGTCCAACTATAGCCAGAGCCAGTGCACCATAGACATAAAATGTTATTTGAATATATCGATCACCCAGAGCGGCATCAATGATTGGTGCTAATATAGCACCAAAACGACCAAAAACTACCAAAACTGCATTGGCGAAGCCACGCATCGATGTTGGAAAAAGTTCTGGAACATAGATCCATGATACAGATACCGCTCCGCTAATAGTCAATTTACCTATTTGTGAAACAATAACAGTCACAAGTGGATGGGTTTGCTTAACAAATGGAATGACAATAACACAAAGAGATGTCAATAATGCATAGAATAGCAGAGAAAATTTTCTGCCTAAACGAGTGATCATTAGAATACTTGCAGATACGTAACCGATGGCTTCAACGACAGCTCCTAAGATAATATTCCAGTAAGGATTCAGAGTGCTATCCATTGCAGCAAGTCCATAAGATATTTTAATATATAATAGCATGGTGATAAATCCGATGCAGCCACTGGTGCTTAGTCGCACTAAAATGCGTCGGTTGGTTCTTGTTTTTTTTGTGACATGTTTGGCATTTTCTTGTGTTACTGGTAAACTTTTGATTAATTCTTCGAAGCTAGGAAACCATTCTATGTCTGCACGACCGTTGGTTGTAGCAATCTTACGTAAACAAGTCTCGAGCTGACTGAACTTCTTTTGATTAAACAACCAATAAGGTGATTCAGGAACAAAGTACAGATAAAAAAGAGTAAGAGCACAGAAGCCACTATTGAACCATTTTAACTTGAGCCAATCACGAGCCAAATAGGCGAAGACAGTGGTAAATATCTCAGCTACTGTGAAACTGACCAACGCAAGATTGCCTGCTAGAGTAGTGTATGTGGATGAAGTCAATTCCATAAGCAAAAGAAAAGTCATGCTAAAGCCTCCTGCACTGGACACGAATTGATTGAATAGCAATAGACCAAACCTTTAAGATAAAGTCATTTTCTTTCGATTATTGGTATTGCTTTAGTTTTTACACTTACTTCACATTTAGAGACATAGAAACAAATTGAAGTAGTAACTGAGTGAGTACAGTAAAAAGAAATTGCCATATTGTCAGTATTTGAATGGTTCTTTTTCTTCCAATCTTATCGCCAATCAATCCACTGATCAATGTAGTGCATCTGCATAATAAATTAGATATGATAAATTACTAGAAAATGAATTGACCCCTTACGTTCCGATTTGAAGTGCAGTAGAAAGCCAAGTGCGTTTCACAGCATGAGTACAGATCAAGTTGGCTTCTTCTGTGAATGTTTTGCCGAAGACTGCTCGATCATAAACGAAATTGGCACATGTTGTTCGATTGATAGTCTCACAACGAGTTGTCGACGATTGCCAATTATCGATGAGCAGTTGATGAGTCATATTAATCGATTTATATTGGTCTTCATCAGGCCAGATTGTCAATGGAAGTTGACAACGGTACAAAGGCTCGGCGGCTCCAAATACATAGTAAAAAGCATTAATACTGCCGCCGATAGCAATCAGATTCAAAAAGATGTAATGAATCCATTGATATCGGCTAAAGTCACCACAACGTCGAAGTACATTTTCTAAGGAGATTTGATTGCCTTGAGTCATATTTTCTTGGCTTTTGGTGACAATGCGTTTGCCTGGTTTTGAATCATTCACCGATGATCGATGAGCAGCATTTTAAATAAGAGACGAATAGGCGACTTAATTTAAGGCCATTCCTGTGCGTGCTTAAGCACAGGTCTATATCTTTTCTCTATTTTACCCTTTTGAAAATTGATGCGTGAGTTGCTGATTTAATCCTGTTGAAATGACAAGTTTCGATGTGTTATTAACAGTACAATGAAAGGTCTAAAGAGCAATATGCTCGATCGTATTCAGATCATTGCAAAGATTGACGCCATCAATAACCTTTCGAATAATAAGTAGAACACACCTTTTATTGATTCTCAAAACTTCCTTCTTTGTTGGTCAACAAATTTACTTCATTCATAACTAATGGCCATTGAGTGTAGCTATATTATACATGCGTCGTTTTCAACAAATTGCAGTATTTACTTCCTTCCTTCTGCTGATCTATTTTCTGAAACTATAAAAAATGATTTTCTTCGTCAAAAAAAGATGGTTTTAGGAAAAACCATTGAATTATCTCGATCAAAATAAAATCAACAAAAGCTACGATCCACTAAGAACAAATGAAGATTTATAATGAAACGAGTCTACTAATATTGCTTTTTGTGCATTTTATATTAGTCATGAGTTCTCTAAGATAAACGATATTTGTGCGTATGTCGAATGCTTCCTGATAAAGTGTTGACATCTTTAGCACGGCCGAAACTTGATTAATAATAAAATCTATTCATTGACTTCATCAGTCGGTATTAGATAATAATATTCACTATATGAGATAAATGTTTGAAATATCGTTGTAATGACAATGAAAACGAAAGCACAAGCAAAATGTCCCAAAAAAAAGAAAATACAATATTCTTTGTACTACAATTCGTATTGAACCGAATCATCGAAAATATACAAAGAAAGACAAGAACGTCTTATTGACAGAATATACCCTGGAGCAGAGCTGAAACGAAAGTATTCGTACTTGCACTTTTCGTGCTTATATTTAAATACGAAAATATTGTACATCGTACTTTTACTTGCAATACGAAGCAATACCTCTTTGCATATTTGAAGTATCTTTCTAAACATTTCATTATTGCCATCAATGAAAGATATTTTAAATATTAAAGCTTATTCAATTAAGTAGTTTACCCATCTACTAAAAATACATATATGAACTTAATAAAAATTATAAAGAATTTCGGACTCTGGCCTTTTTTGGAAACTTAAGATTATTTTGTATGAAGTGTTTTTTATATTTCCGACGGATTGCATGACAAATGAAAGATGCCCAATTCAGAAACACTTAACTATCAGAAATATCGGAGAACTTTCAGATGACTCCGTAAGTTTTTATTAAAGCAGATTTAATTCTAAACATAATAAGTTTTTAAAATTCCCTCGACTGTAGGGAGGGTCATATGAAAAAAAATAGTTTGTGTGTGTGTCTGTCTGTGTCGGGGTCAAAAAAACATCAGGGTCAAAAAAACATCCACCTTAGAAAATTTTTCTTTCAAGGCTGACTAAAGTAAATCGGGGTCGAGGAATCCGAATCTGAAGTCAGAATTTAAAAATTTTGAAGTGAGTTTTTTGGGTTAAGGGAAGGGTTTTTGAAAAAATACTGATATTTTATAAAGGTTGACGAAAGTAAATCGGGGTCGGGGAATCCGAATCTGAAGTCAGAATTTTGAAAATTTCGAAGTGAGTTTTTTGGGTTAAGGGAAGGGTTTTTTGAGAAAATTATAATATTTTCTCGAGTCTGGGAAAAGTTATTTAAAATACAATAAATTGTTGTCTCTTTTAGTGACATGGTGATGAAATGTCATACAAGAAACTTTGGCTAAGTGTTGGGTACTCGTGCTTTTAATATTGGGCTTTGTACTAATTCGAATTTTCAGAATGAGCATTGAGTTAATCTGATGTATGTGATATGGTCTCCCTTAATCAACTGTTTTATAAGTGGATTTCGACGGGCAAGACTTGTTATTAATGATGCATTGAGGTCTAGTGATGAGGACTATTGCAATGTATTCATTATTAGATCGATCTTTACAAAATATTGTGGAAACAAAATCTGAATTTTTAAAATTACTGGTATCAACGTAGAAGATCTCGACTTCATATTGGAAAGAATCTAAAAGAAACATGGAGTATGGAGAGACTATTACAATTTTACGTGAAACCGTTAATATACTCGTCGTCATAATTATGTTCAGTGACGGATAAAAAGACAACTATTTGTGCTCATTAAGTCCACCTAAATATGATCATGAAAACGTGAAAGTAGAGGACAGAGGCAATTCAAGTATTATATAATTAATTTTTGATCATTTTGGCTCTTTTTGTCGCTTGATTAAGTAATCAATACAATAGTTTTTCTTAATGCATGATTTTTTTTACTATGCACTAAAATACAAATTCAGTTTCAAGAGTATATTTATTTTCTCATATTAATACTAATTTTACAATTAAATAATCGAAATAAAACGCAAATATTTAATAAGTAAAGATAGATCATAAATTAGCAATAGATAAATAGTTGTTTTTACTATACGTTGATCATATGCTATTATTGCACTATAACCAAAAGATTTCAAACATTATGCCATCTTTGAGCGACCTCTATATCTTCACGTCATCAAATGTTACTATTGACCAAATTGTATCTCCATTAGGTTTGTTCGACGTGGCAATGCTTAAACAGTCCCAAACATAATGGAATCATACTTGAAGTGATCAAAACATAACATCACCAAATGATTATTATCATGAACGAAAAGACGACAAAAAATTATAGACTAAACAATACAAGATCTGGATAGAATCAACGTCATGAATGAAAAGTTGGAACGAAAAAATATAGATTAAATAATAGAACAATTAGATATCGTTATTATACATAAAAAGGTTCACCAAAAAAAATAGAATAAACAATAATTAATATTTATATCGATCAGACTTCGTGAAGTATAAATTGCAGTGTAGTTGTTGCAGCCGGTTATTTGATAGGTTGACTCGTTACTATTACAATCCATAACTTGACGTATGCGATACAATTATGTACAACACGTGCCTTAGTGTTTGCTTTTCTGATATATGTTTTATGCAACTTGTTCAACTTCATCATCTCATTATTTACTAAAACTCATTCGTCGTTAAAAATATTGAAAATTATGAACAATACATAGACTTTAAACGACTCAAACATGTAGTTATAGTTGAGGGTATTTATAACTGATCCGTTGTGGAACCTGACCCGCTTTGGGATCTTCATAAAGTATAATTAATATAGAATGCACGCATGAGACAAGAGTTGCAACATTAAGCTATTCAGTTCGTATATCCTATAAAAAATGAATTGGTTATCTAATATTTTTTTCATGTAAATCAATTTCATTTAAAGCATTTTTATTCGTATCGAGATTAATTCTTTGTGGAAGTTAATAGATATGATTAGAATTTTTTTAGATTAATTGACGAATTAGACAATTTAAAAAGTCAATTGCTTCATTCGAGTTCAAAAAATTCTAGTTGCTTTTCTTCTGTTGTTTTTGGAATGTCAACACATTTTAAAGGAAACAACACCCATGTTCGATTTTGAAAAAGTTGATTCACGCAGAAAGAATGTATAAGAGATAAATTACCTAGACATAAATTTTGGAAAAAACAATAGTTTAAATTAAAATACAGAAAAAAATCAGTTATTCCGACTCTCACTTCTTTAAAAGTGATAGGACTGGATTATAGCTTTTGATAAAGTGAGCCATCTATCTGAAAAAATTGTTGAAAAGACGACTGGTTAAAATGAAATTGGCTAATAACCAACTGAATAAATAAGAATATATGAAAGAACAATATAATGTTGAACGGTAATTTTTAGAAATTCATTAATTTCATATTGTGCTATAAAATGGTAGAAAGCATCGAACGAGAATATCGAAAAATGAAACTATCATATCAAAATATTGAAACATCAATAGAATCAACCGAAATTTCCAAATGAGAACTCGGTTAGCGAAGAATTATATTTTCAATGAACAGATCAAAATGAACATTTTCGAAAGGTTGATCATTTGGATATAATTTTTTTAAGTCCATAAAATGAATTGATATTTTGTATGACAATAATAAAAGTCATGAATTTATTATTACATGCTGTTTCGAGCACTTGTTACAGGACTGGAAATAGGTCAACAATAATCTTTAATTTAAGATTTTTTGATTAACTGATTTTGTTGATTTTCTGATTTTTTTAAAATAAATATTGAAAATAATGTACAATAGCATTTTGTATCGCTAAAATGAATTTTCAAAAAATTAAAGAATATTTTTGCTAAAATCTTTCAACATTTTTTTATTTGCGAAGTAATTCGATAAAATAATGTATTTTCCTTCAATGAACTATTATTTTGTTACAGTGGCAACGTATATGCAAAACACTTTTACTGAAGATTAAACTTTGAAATATGTGATACTTATTTGCTTCTTCCTTCATATAAAAGATACAAAGGCAGAACAAGATCAATTCGTTTAATCATGTTCTAAAATAAACAGAACGTCATCCCGAATGTTTGCTATTTTTCATTGATCGTTCTACCAAGTGAGATAAGCAATAAAGCTTATCATCATTATGATATTCAAGCATTTTTTCATTTTCTTGAATGGTAGAAGAATAGTTAATACTAAGCGGAGTTGATTTGAGTCAATGTGAGTAAAAAGAAATTATTCAAACAATAAGCGATTCGAAATGGTTTTGTTTTATGACGTTACAGCTCCTAAAGTAAAACTCAGATATAGTATCTTTAATGTTAAATATATTTAAATATAATCATTTCATCGATAAATTTCGAACAGATCGAAACGAAAAATATTATTTCAATCAAGAAGTTATATTTTGTTTTAATTAAGGTAAGTATATACGAGCTTCATCTTTTGAAGACTAATACGATTTGCAGTACTGTCACCACGTCTCGTCATTTTGGAAAGTTATAAATCTTCTCAATCGAATAGATATCATCTTGAACGGTAGGTTATGAAAAGCCATAGAAACTCGGTTGTACGATTTTAAGAAAAAAAAACTTAACATGACGGATTCGATTGACTTAACATAAGTTACAGTATTACTTGTCAAAATACGTTTATGGTTAAGAGTCATTGACATGAGATTTTGTATAAAAAATAGCTCTAATATCATACAATTCGATTCATATATGTTTAAAACTAATATATATATCAGCAAAAAGTTCTCTTTTAATGAAATGATAGTGTAGTTTCTTTCAGATTTGAAAAATTAGAAAAAACAATAATTAAGTCAGATATAAAAGCAACAATATATTATGAAATGGATAAATCAAAGAAAATAAATATTTATACTTGAGACATTCCTATTTTGTAAGACAAATTTCATTTTATCTCAGATATTTGGCTATACTTTAATGATTTTCATCTAATCGATGTTGAGGCACTAATTGTAAGTGAAATAAGTTTTCTTATATTCGTTTTTCAATTTAATATGATGAATTGAATATATATATCCGTTTAACTGTACAAAATATATATGAAACTAACCGCATTCATGAATATCTATGTAAAATTAATAGTTTTTCCAGTAAAAATCATCGAAAATCATGGTTGTATTTTGTCTTTGGTTTTTTATTTCTCATTCGGTATTAATTTTAAAATAGCTTCTTTTTAGTTACAGTTTGCGTAAAGTAAACGAAAGAAACCTCTTAAAACTAACAAAAAAACAATCACTTTTTGTATAAGTTAAAGAATAGTTTTTCACAATATGAAGGGTTATATCATATTAATCTCATCAATGAATACAAATATAATACAATTTTTCTTTGAAATAAAAAAGTAAAGTAAAATCAATTAACACGAAGATTGATGTCATTGTCAATTCGTGACTATATATCAGATATCACTATTATGTAAATACTTGAATCAAATTAATTTTTAACTGCATCGTCTTGAAAGAAACTATATTAGACTTTGTTCGACAATATTCTGGTCTATTTTAGATAGAAAATAAAATCAATAGTTAATTGGATAAATATCTATATCTTCTAAATTTAGCTGTTTTGACTGCTTTAAAAAATTCATAGTGTTCCTTTTTAACTAGTTATTTGAAAATTGATTGCCTCTAAATGTTACCTATTACAGTAACTTCTCGATTACTCATGTCTTTTGTTTTATATATTTAAAGATGTCTAATATTTTTATGAGCTGTTGATATAATACGGGTTTCTTTATTCAAGTATACAAGAAGCTGAATTCATGTATTTTATCTCTTGTAAAACTTTTCGTCATCATTATAAGGTCGATTATTATATAGGCGTACTGATTTCACTTTTATTACGCTAAGTACAAAGAGGATACGTCTTATCATCGAATAGCTGAGATGGAAAAACATAAAGAAAGGATGATATAGCATTCTCATAGTATTTATTCATTTTATGCGCAGAAGAGTACTCACCAATGACTTCTATTTTTTTTATATGTCAACATTTGTCTATAATTGTTTAAATTTACAAAATATAACTTTTTTAAAAATGAAACGTTGTAAGCAACTGATTTACTAGAGCATCATTTTGTTTTAGATTATGATATACCAAAGATTTCATTCAAACTAAACATGAACACGCGATGCATTTTTTGTACCATCTTGTGTACAGGTTACTGCTGTCCACAATGTAGTCAAATGAGTCGTGGTCTAAAATTTACAAGATTGCTTCAAATTTTGGAAAAATGTTCTGAGAATATCATGTATCATGATGAAATCAATTCTGTTGTGCAACGAATTCGACAGGTGAGTTTTTTAGATTGATGATTTAATTATGAACAGAAGTTTATAGATCGAACCAGTTCTGATGCAACTTCAATTTTGTCCTACTCAAGTCTTTGATGAGACAAAACATGTAGTAGATGTGGTAGCTAAGAAGTATCTTGAAAAAGCGACTCGTGATGTGAATCATCTTGTTCCAATCGAAGTTATTGCTGATGGAAACTGTTTATACAATTCTATTGTTCTTTTAACGGATAATCCAGCAATAACGACAAGCGAATTACGAGGTATAAAGATTTTGCTTCCATTTTAATGTAATACAATTTATTTTGAAATAATTTTTAATTCGGACGATTATTGAACTTGTAATAAATGAAAGTTATTATCAAACTATGTATTCACAATACGTCGGTCCTGTCGACATTGCCATCAAAGCTATTTGCAAGAATTATACATTTTCTGAATTATATGAAATAGCAGCACTATGCAATGTACTCCGATGTAATATACGAAGTGTTTATCCGAAAATTGACTTTCAACAATATGTGGCGGTTTGGGATAATGTCTTTACGCCTGTTTCATCTATTATTCCTAATTGTAACATTGTAATTATGTGGTCAAATGCCTTAAATGAAAAAAATGCTCGAGAGACAAATAATGGCACATGGAGTCCAAATCATTTTGTTCCTCTCATTCTAACAGGTATTCATAACGATTCTAACAATGGTGATCAATCAACGTCGCTCGCGGTTGTAAGTTATCGCCTATAAATAAAAACTTTAAAATTTTCCAATTCTTTTCAGACTCTTGAAAAAAGAACGTTTAAGAATAATACTGTTAGTCAAATAAGAATTCCTGAATTTCAATCTTCTCCCAGCAGACGTTTTCGAAGTGAAGACAGCGTCGAAAATAACTTCACTCAACCAATTATCTCAGATGCAATTGACAAGGAAAAGAATAACAAAAACGAGCAACGTCAAAATCGACTTGAGAAAAAAAGAGAAGAAAGTCGATCTCGTCGAATGAATGAAACAGAAGAACAGCGTCAGATTCGACTCGACAAGGACAGAGAACGAAATCGATCTCGTCGAATGAATGAAACACAAGAACAGCGTCAGATTCGACTCGAGAAGGACAGAGAACGAAATCGATCTCGTCGAACAAATGAATCAGAAGAACAACGTCAAATTCGACTTGAGAAGAAAAGAGAACAGAGTGGATCGGGTCGAATGGATGAAACACAAGAACAACGACAGATTCAACTCGAAAAGGACAAAGAACGAAGTCGATCTCGTCGAAGGAATGAAACACAAGAACAGCATCAGATTCAACTCGAGAAGAACAAGGAACGAACTCAATCTAGTCGAACAAATGAATCAGAAGAACAACGCCAAATTCGACTTGAGAAGAATAGGGAACGAACTCAATCCAGTCGAAGAAGTGAATCAGAAGTACAGCATCAGATTCGACTCGAGAAAAATAGGGAACAGACTCAATCCAGTCGAACAAATGAATTAGAAGGAAAGCGTCAGATTCGACTCGAGCAACAAAGAAAACGAACTCAGACAAATCGATCTAAAAAGAAACTTGGAAAACAGATGCATGAAAACGTCGATATTGAACTAGGTAATATGCAGACCCAGTTCTCCATTCGTCCGCCTTGGCCTGAAACAATTCCTCGTGACTTGAAGGAAACTCGTTTACAACAATTTTTAGAACAAATGTCCATGTCAGTACTGGCTGAAGCTACGTGTGCAGTTTGCAATGTCCGTACTCCAGCAAAACACTCCAAGAAAATATCCATCTCAAAAATTCCTAACATTCATTTACTTAAAGTTTCAGAAGAACTCAATGATTTAATTATAAACATTCAGTCAACATCACTACAAAATTCAAGAAGAGATACAGAAATGTTCACCAACAGTGATATAGAGACAACTGAACATGATACAAGTAATGCATGATTTTTTTGTCAATTTTTAAATTCACATAAACTCTTTATAATTATTTTAGATCCTTCAACTTTCGATTCAGCGTCGTTTTATTGTCAAAACAATGTTATTTTATATAAAAGTGGTTTGTTTCAACAAAATAAAGTGGATATGTGTACTCTTTGTCAAAAATGTCATGGTGCTCTTTCGAAGGGATCTATTCCTAAGTTTTCAGCTGCCAATAATATGTGGTTAGGTGATATACCTGCTGAATTACAAGGATTGACGATTCCAGAACAAAAATTAATATCACTTTATCGTCACAATAGCTGCATAATAAAACTCCATTCGCCTTTTCATTCAACTACAACTGTCCAAACTGCACTGAAAGGTAATTGCATTACCTTTGTTCAAAACGTACCAAATATCGTCAATAGCTTGCCACTTACACTTGATGATCTATGTGATACACTTAAAGTGATTTTTATTGGAGCTCGACCTCCTGTTCGTATTCATCTTAAAAAAGTTCTAACAGTGCGCAAGAAGAAAATTACTCAAGCATTACACTGGTTAAAAAAAACAATATACTTTATAAAGACGTCAACATAAATTTCGAAAAGATCGCTTAATTAGCAGAAGACGATGTACCAGATTGTATCATGTCAACATTAGAACAAAAGTTAGATGATGGCGAAATTCGATCTGAAAAAGTCGGATATATTCCTGATCCATTATCGAATCCCACAGAACATACTGCTACAGATGCTATTCCCATTAGTAACAGGTGAGATCAATTTATTAATCGATTGTTACATACATCTTTTCTATTTCAGCGGTGTTCTTGATGTCAATGGTACGTCAATATCTTCAGAGAATATTTCTAGTTATTTTTTGCACAAAATTAAAAATAATGGAAGCAAGGATCAGATGGATATCGAAAACGTTTATTTAATTCCTCATTCATCAAAACCTGTCAACGAATATTTCAATCCAAAATTATTAGCAGGTTTATATCCAACTTTGTTCTGTTATGGGCGTGGAGTACCGGAAGATCAATTACGTCCAGTTCAGATAACATTAAAAGAACACATACGTTATCTTTTAGCTTATAATGATCGTCGTTTTGAAAAACATCACAGTTTTATATTTGTAATCTTCAATTTATTGCAACGTCGTGATGCTTGCTTTCATGCTCAACTGATAGCAACAAAGCCTTACTTTCAATCATCTGCTGATGAAATTCTATCTTTGAGCAGCAAAGATATTGAAACAGCTCTTGACAATAATTCCAAGAGAATATACAATTCAGAATCAAGCAATACATTAAACAAACTGCTCCAACATATTAAAACTATTGGTGGTCGAGTTATGGGTTCGGCATATTCGCGAACGGCTTTACGTACTCGAATTCATGCACTTATCTATAACCAAGGACTACCTAGCATATTTCTCACTTTAAATCCAGCCGATATCCACAGTCCTGTAGCATTATACTTTGCAGGCGTTCAACTTGATCTAGATAATATTCAAAACGAACAACTTATGGATACTTACAAAAGAGCTGAAATTATAGCATCTCATCCAGTTGCTACTGCAAAATTTTTTCATTTATTAATTTCCAATATCTTAAATACAATGATTATTGGTGGTGTTCTTGGACCAATAAAGGCTTATTTCGGTACTGTTGAAAGTCAAGGCCGAGGTTCACTTCATTTGCATCTCCTTATTTGGCTTGATCATGATATGAAACCAGCTGATATGAAACAAAAGATTCAAAATGCTGATGTTCGTGAAAAGTTGAAAGCATATTTAGAAGACATCATCAAAGAAGATTTAGATGAATTCAAGGACAAACAAATCTTCGAGAATTTAAACGGTATAAAACATTTTGTTTTTATTTGAATATCATCTTCTGCTTTTATATTATAGTGCCGAGATCATTCGATACTCCTCCACGATTATCACAAGATAATATCTATGCGGCTTTACGTACTATTGATTTAACAGGTCTAGCCGAAAATATAAATAAATCTCCTGTTTGGTCGACACCAATCAAGCAACAACTGTCTCCATCAATTCCTTATGCCTCACCTTCGGTTCCTTACGGTTCTTCATTACAGAATAAATCATTACAGACACCAACACATGACCGACCAATATCTAGTAAGAAACAGAAGTAATATAAAAGATAAAGTACAGATCATATTTTAGTTATGAATGTTTTACACAATCAATCAAACATAAATCCAGCTTGCTTACCAACTCCAAATCCATCATCGCCTAATTTTGCAGCACGCTTTCGTGCAGATGTGATACAACTTGTGGAAACAGACAACAAGCACAAGCATACTGACACATGTTACAAATATTCTAATCCTAAACAAGGCGACAAGAAGAATTGTCGATTGCATATGCCACGCAAATTGGTACCAGTCTCGACAATTGATCCTGATACTGGCCATATTTCTATGCGACGATCGGATCCATGGATTAATAATTTTAATGAATACCTTATTGCGACTTGTCGGTCCAACATGGATATTAAATTTATTTGGAGTGGTAGCGATGCAAAGGCTCTTGTTTATTATATTACCGATTATGTAACAAAAATGAGCCTTTCTTTTCATGATACACTTGCTCTTGTACAAAAAAGTATTACATCGTTCAACAATTCGTCGCATCAGATGGACAATGACAGTGCAATTGAGAAGTCGCGTAAACTTGTTTTACGTTGTTACAACACACTTGCTTCTCAACAAGAACTATCTGGAGTTCAAGTTGCATCTTATCTGATGAACTGGGATGACCATTATACAACACACAAGTTCCAAGGTCTCTTTTTAATTCAAACTGAACGATTTTTACAAACTCAATTAAATGAAATACGTGCCAAACAGAAGTCGAAAATTGTAACATGCGGTATGTTTTTAATATTATAGTTGAATCAAACATAATGTCTTGTCTTTCATTTGTTAGATATAATGGACGATGACGCACATGATGACGAAGCTATTGACAATGAAAACAATGGCGAAGAACAATTTCAAATTCAATCGAATGAAAATGACAATAGCTTCATCCTTGTTAATACAAGAATTGATTATCAATACCGATCCGATACTTTCAACAACATGTGTTTATACGACTTCGTCAGCACATTATATAAGAAAAAAAATGAATACATCAGATTTCAAGTATTTATCCGAATCTGCAGCATCAGTCGAAAAAAATGCTAATCGAAAAGGTCGACCACACAATGAACGCTTTCCTTTTCAACAACAGCATCCACAGGCAACAACACATTTAATGATGAAATATAGTCAACTTCATGTACCTATTCTTTACGGCCCTCAAATTCCTCGACAAGATCGTGATGACACTCGAGAACGATACAGTCGAGCTCTCCTCACGCTCTTCGTGCCCTGGCGCACGGTTACTGATCTCTGTAGTGCCAATCAAACATGGGAAGATGCCTTCAATTCTCGGCAACATATTATTTCTGTACATTCGTGGAAGATCATAGAAAATATCCAACTTTTGCACGAATGCAAAAAGGACCGTGATGAACATTTACTTCAAGTTATTGCTGAAGCTCAAGTCGACAATGATGCAATCGATCCTGTACTTTTGCCAGCAAATCATGATGTTCATGGTGAATACGACATGGATGACAGCGATGACTTGCTTGAACTATTAGGCAATTTAGATGAATATACAACTGCTGCAGTCAATACCACAAGAAAAACAACAGAAAATAAATATATTGAAGAAACTATCGAAGCAGTCGAGAAAGTTGGACGATTTAATCATACGAACAGTAAGTATTATTTTTACATTAGTAACAAGTTTGAAAACAATGATAAAAAATTTATTGTAGTGCATTACCAATCTTCTTCAGATATATCAATTGATCGTACTAATCGACAACTTATACCGTTCCTTTGTGCAACACCTCATCTTGTTCAACTCAATACAAAATGGCAAGAACAGCTGAAGATCGAGAAAGAACGAGTTAGACGAAGTTTAATTACGGGGAACTATGACAAAGATGATGATACATTGGATTTATTTGCTGCAAGAGATGCCGTTGTAACAGTGATGAATCCAAATAATTATAGTACAAACAATTTTGAAAACTATGGTTCAATTCTTCCAGTGCTCAAAGTCATAAATAACTTTCCTACTCAGACAAGTATTATTAATGAATTTACATTAAACAGAGAACAACGAGCTGCATTTATGATTACAACAAGTCATCTTGATGGTGACAGCCGATGTCGCACAGGTATTTTTACAATATGCGTCATCACAAATCGAAATATATAATCTTTTTAGGTGACAATAATGGTCAACTCATAATGTGCATATCTGGTTGTGGTGGAACAGGCAAATCACAACTTATTCGTGCTCTTACCAAATACTTTCTCGTTACAAAAAGAATGCAAATGATGAGAAAGCTTGCACCGACTGGAATTGCTGCTGCTGAAATAGATGGAATGACAATTCATTCATTTTTGGGCGAACAACGCAATTCAAGAAAGCCACGAACTATTAAACCAGGTGACTCAAAACTTGAAAAAGAATGGAGACCAGTCGAATATCTTTTAATTGATGAGATGAGTATGGTTGGTTTAACTCTACTAGCAAAACTCAACCGAATTATTTCTACTGCAAAACATGTCGATTCTCAAGTTCCATTCGTTGGTGTAAACGTTATCTTCTTTGGTGATTATTTACAATATCGACCTGTATTTGATGCACCATTACACACCGATTTCACATTATCATCTAAAAGTAAATCGTGCAAGTTACCTACAGAAAAAGAAATTCAACAGCGTGTTGCACGATCTTTAATACTTCAAATTAACTGTGTGGTAAAACTTACGCAACAGATGCGAACAGAAGATTCACGGTACCTTCAGCTACTCGAACGTCTTCGTCATGGACAATGTAATTATGACGACTATGAATTATTGCTGACACGAGTGGTTGGGCAACCATCAGTAGACTCTCTCTGTGATTCACCATGGAATAAAGTAAGTTTTCTTTTCCTTTTGACACAAACGTGTATATTTGTCTCGTTTAGGCTCCGATCCTTGTGTTCCGAAATGAAGTACGAACACAATTGAACAACAAGGCAGCAATTCACAATGCAGCTCAATTAGGCCGCGTCCCAATGGTATGCGTCGCTCAAGACACTTGTAATGGAAAACCAATTGAAGATCCCGTACTTATAAAAAAATTATTGGAATTATCTGATAGCAAGACAGAGCATTTACCTGGTTTATTACCTTTTGTTCCTGGAATGCCTGTTATTTTAACACAAAACATTGCTATTGAACTTGGTCTTATTAATGGTATAAATGGAATCTTTCGTCAATTAGTCTACCAGTCAGATTCTGTATCAGCAGATGTTTTATCGGAAATATTTCCAAAAAATACACAATACATTCATCGGTCATTATATGCATTAATAGAAATTGCTAAATCAAAAGTTGATTCCAATCTTGAAGAACTTCAACCAAAACTTATCCCAATACCAGTAATGGAACAAACATTTCGGATAGACATTTCTGATATTCTTCCAAAAGACAAGAAACCAAAATCAAATCGAAAAGCAATTCTATCGATTAGACGTCGAGCATTACCATTAGTGCCTGCTTATTGCATTACAACACACAAGAGTCAAGGCCAAACATTGAATAAAGTTGTGATCGATCTTAAATTACCA